TAAATTTTTAAACATTTTTGAAGATATAATATATTAAAAAATTTTTAACATTTAGAAAAATTATGCTTATTAAAATAAAATGATATAAAATATTTTAAACCTTTAATAAATAAAAGGTTAAATAGTATTTGTATAAGTTAAAATCAAAGTTATAATTAAAATAGGCAATAATTATAATTTTGATTTTTATTATTTTGTGCATATGCGTTGTAACGCACCCATAAGATCAGGTGTAATGTGAAATTAAAACAAACCAATTAGCACATTAATTTAGGGTAAGGGCCAGTGTTAAGATAGGTTAGAATTAAGTAATAATAAAATGATTCTAATATCAAAATTTTGTAAGAATTTTTTTTTATTAGAACACGAAAAGTGGTTTCATAAGCAAAATTTTGAACTACAAGCAATTTTTAGAAAAATCAGTATTTTTTTTTGATTTCACATTACACCTGATCTTACGATCTAATTGGTTGATCAGGTGGGTGTGTTATAATGCACATGCGCTAAATTACATAAATCTATAATTTTAAATATATTTAAATTCAAATCGTATTTTTAAACTTTAATTATTATTTGTTTTAAATTAGTAAAAAAGATTTAACCTTATTTTTTTTTATAGTTTTAACAAATATTAATAAAATTTTAATTGTTTATAATTTTAAATTGTGTATAATTCTAAATTGTGTTTTATTTTTTAATTTAGTTATAAATCTTGTTTATATTAATTTTTTTATTAACACTTACTGTATAATGTATTTTTATATTTAAATTTTTTTTTAATTTTTAGTTAAGATTTATTAATTAACAAGAGCAATTTTTATTATAAATTTTATATAAACTAAATATACCAAATATACTAAGCAAAAATTTAAATAAAAACTTAATTTATTTTTTTTTTGTATTAAGATAAGGTCTTGCTTATATCTTTATTATTAATTTAAAATAATTACATATATATATTATGATTAAAACTAATACTTGCAGTTAAAGCTAACTATTAAACTGCTAACTATATAGCTATTACTATTTGTACAGTACAAATAAATTAAAAATTATATATAAAAATAAAGTTTAAATTAGTTTATTTGTAATCTAAACCTACTAAAATAGTTAGACTTCATTTAAATTTGAATAATTAATATATAATTAGAAAATATACTATATTTAATTTACAAAGTAGACCAAATATTAATTTTACCAATTACTTAACTAATAAAAAGACAAGTATATAGATTTTTAAGCACTCTTCCTTTTTCTGAGGTCGGGTGCTCCAGGTAAAATGACTATTATAGACTCAACAAAGAGAGACAAGAATCTCAACACAAAAATAAGAGCCAAAACTCTTAGGCCAAAGAAACGCAAAAGACTAGAAAATGATCAAACAATATTTATTAGCAAGAAAATGATAAAAATACAACAAACAAATAGTGAAACTCTTGTTGCAAAAAAAAAAAATTTACTTCTATCCCTATTAAAATCCAATACTTCAGAAATTACCTTACAAGACAGAACAACCCTAGGACAACCAAATTTAGAACATACTAGCAGACTCTCTAAAAATTGGGCAGACGAATTCGAAGAAGTATCTAGAACACAACATAGAGTACAATTGAACTCCACTATGGTAAACAACAAAGAGCCGGAAAATTCTTTGGCCAACTCATATAAGACAAAAGCAGATGGGGGAGATAAACTCATGGCTGAAAATGCAGAGAATCAGGTCATCGATACCTCAGATCAAGTACAACCTCAATTAGTATCTAAACAGACTGCCTTTACAGACATCTCACATATGGAAACATATGATACTGATACAAATATAGAAACTGATTATACAAACCCCAACCCAAGCTCTTCGTATGGTCAGCAGAGAAAAATAACCGGTACAGAAACAAAGATTCTTCATCTAGAAATTTGGACCAAAAAAATCAAAATAAGTTCTGGACAAGCCTATTCACCAAATTAACTAGAGGCTCATCAACATATTCGATATTTTCAGTATGTAATCAAATTACCACCAAGAATAATAAAGTAGCAATGTTTGAAATTCGTACTCTTAGTAACTTATCTATGAATGAAATTGTTGTAGTTCTAAACAAAAGTATCAGCAAAGATATTCTTGAAATAAAACTACATTTTACAAAGAGAATCAGATCGCACTTAGAAATTATCTTTAAAACCAATAAGAATGTACAAAAATATAGTATAGAAAGAATCAACTTGTTTAATCAAACCTTCTTAAGCTATATTTCTACTAACAGCAGAACCTCATATCTCTCAATCAAACTTAAAAATATTCCAATTGATTTTCAAAAAGATATCACAAAAGAAATTAAAGATACCTTTGAACATATAGAGAAAATTTCTTCAATTAAACAGCTTGTTTTTAAGAGCACTTCAATATTAAGTAACTAATGGGTAGTGATTTTTGATACTACTGATGATCCTGAGATAACCAAACGGATCCCAAGATTCATAACAATTATGGACCAAAAAGTTATCACAGAATAGAGAGAGGCACCTAGACTTTGCTTCTTTTGTGATGCAGAAGGTCACATCAAAAGAGACTGTCACCAATATAAAAAAGCACAAAAACTCAAGGCGAAATATAAAATATATAAAAAAAACAAAACAACTCTGTTGGAAAACTCAGAATTATATAATTCGACAGATATCAATATC